ATTCTTGGTGCTTGGGGGGGCAAACATGGGAGGGCTTCTAGTGCCCTGGCCCCACTGCTGGACCTCCTGATGGCCCCTGGTGTTTTTGGCCACTGCGTGACACAGAGTGTTGGACTGGATGGGCCTTTGGCCTGATCCAACATTGGCGCCTCTTATGTTCTTATGTTCCCCTGTCCGATCGCTCGAGCACGCTCTCATGCCTTCGGGATGGTCTGATCATTCTATCCTGACTCGGTACCAGTTCCCCTCCCCCCTTTGCAGTATGCACATAATCTAGGGTTGCCAAGTCCTACCTTATGCCGCAGCGGGGGACTCCCGGCATCGCGAGCACGTCAACCGGAAGTGACGTCGCTGTGTCGGGCGCGCCAGGGGTGGGGCTGTGGTCATCCGAGGGAAAAATATAGAGTTTTCCCTCGGATGACCACGGCCCCGCCCCCCGGCACGCCCGGCGTGGCTGCGTCACTTCCGAGTGACGTGCTGATGCCGGGCACCAGTGTTCCCTCTAAGCTGAGTTAGTGTGAGCCAGCTCACAGTTTTTTAGCCTACGGCTCACACATTTTTGTCTCAGCTCAGGGAGGAGGGCTCCAGAGCAAACGGATTGATGCAGCAGCCAAACCGCCCGCTCAGAACTTTGATGCCCGTAGCTCACAAAGTAGCATTTTTGCTCACAAGACTCCACTGCTTAGAGGGAACATTGCCGGGCATGTCCCGTGCTTTGGGGGTGGGGTTCCCCCCGGGGCCCGATGCGCCAGCGGCGGGGAACGAGATTCTGGGGCGGGTTTCCCCATCCCCCCGGGGGAACTTGGCAAGCCTAACATAATCGGATACTCCATGGGGAGTCCTCAGTGGGGAGGTGCGATTCCTCATTTATGCGCATGAGAAACAAACAGGGAGGGGGGAGATGACTCGCCCGCAGTGGCGTCTGATCACACAGTAACAGGCGGAGCCCGCAGCACAAAGGGCGGTGTGATCTTGCAACCGCGAGTCAAATTTCTCTGGAGGAAATTGTCTCGCTCCCCCTCCACTCCAACTGGCACATGTGACCGTAGCCTCAGTGTTGCCATCTCTGGGACTCCCTACCACTTGAAGGAAGGCCATCTAATGGCATCTTCCTTTCCAGATATTCCCCGGGAACAAGGACCCCGAGACGCCAGTCCTCAACCTGTTTCCTGTCCCAGTGGTGGCTCGATACATCCGCATCAATCCTCAGACGTGGTTTGAGAACGGGACCATCTGCCTGAGGGCGGAGGTCCTTGGGTGCCCCTTGCCAGGTAAGGCCTTCCAGGTGAGCCTCCTGAGATATCCCCTGAGGATGCTTTCGTGGCATCGCACTGTCAGATCCAGGAGAGGAAGGAGTTTGGTGTTGCCTAGCAACCAGCGAGACCTGCTTCTAGCAATTCTGGCCTTGATATGGGTGATTCGGGACCACGCCTCTCGGTTTCCAGGCAACCAAAATAGTCTCCTTCTCCTCCAACTCCAGCTTGCAAGATGGTGCCATAGCAGTGAAGACATGGGCCAGTGTTCCCTCTAAGCTGAGTTAGTGTGAGCCAGCTCACAGTTTTTTATCTCCAGCTCACACATTTTTGTCTCCGCTCAGGAAGGAGGGCTCCGGAGCAAGCTAATTTATGCAGTAGCCAAATGGCTCGCTCACAACTTTAATGCCAGGAGCTCACCAAGTAGAATTTTTGCTCACAAGACTCCACAGCTTCCACACAGAGAGCTCTGAGAGAAACTGCTCTTTTTCAAGAACAGCTCTGAGAGAACTTGTGACTGTCCCAAGGTCATCCAGCAGGTGGAAGTGGAGGAGTGGGGAATCAAACCCGGTTCTCCCAGATTAGACTCTGCGCACTAACCACTACGCCAAACTGGCTCCAGAGCAAACTAATTTATGCAGCAGCCAAATAGCTCGCTCACAACTTTAATGCCAGTAGCTCACCAAGTAGAATTTTTGCTCACAAGACTCCCCAGCTTAGAGGGAGCTTTGGAGATGGCCTCTTACCTTTAACTTCCCTCCCCTCTTCTTTCCAGACCCTAACAACATCTACTACTGGGATGACGCGCCAGTGACCCATGATAAGTTGGATTTTAGACACCACAATTACAAGGAAATGAGGAAGGTGTGTATCCTTTGCCCCTGGAAAGTGGGTACCTGTTTGTCCAAACTCTCATTGAATTCCAGCTTCCTAGCCCCATTCCCTGCCTCCAAAATGAGCCCACAATCTCAGCCTGGGAAAAAAAATCCATATTCTGATGATCATCTAGTAATAAAGAAAAGGTGGACAGTGAGACAGAGGTATCCATCACAAGGTGGGTTTGGGTCGTAACTGGAGAGAATCAGGGGAAAACAAAGTTCAGATGGCTTGCCAGAACTCAGATCTCTGTTCCCCGTATTCATTGGAGGCTCTCCAGAGTTGTGTTTGTAATACAGCCGTCCCACTTAGGGATGCTGTCGCTCCGACTAGGGTCTCCCCACGCAGGCCCGTAGCCGGGATTTTGTGGCTTGTGGGTCAAATTTTTTTCCTGGTGAGGCTCAAGTTCTCACTGCAGAAAGAAAAGCCGTCTAGCCAATAGGAAGCTGTGACCAGGACAGATCTCTAAACGGCAAGCTGTCAACCCCTTTAGATGACAGTTCTCAGCTGCTGCAAGTTCATCACTTCTGCCAGCCGAAGCAACAATTCTGAGAACAAGCCGGCAGGAGGGGGGTGATGACTTCCGTAGTCAAGAAAGCTGACAGGAAGGTTTGCCCCTGTGTGAGACGGGATGCTGGACTAGGTGGACCCTCCCTGGTCTGATCCAGCAGGGCTCTTCTTATGTTCTTATCAGGGGAAGGCCTCGGCCTCTCTGCCCTGTTGCTGGCCCTCCAGAGGAACTGGCTGGCCCCTGTGTGAGACAGGATGCTGGACTGGACGGACCCTCACTGGTCTGATCCAGCAGGGCTCTTCTGGTGTTCTTATCAGGGGAAGGCCTCGGCCTCCATGCCCTGTTGTTGGCCCTCCAGAGGAACTGGCTGGCCCCTGTGTGAGACAGGATGCTGGATTAGATGGACCGCTGGTCTGTTCCAGCAGGGCTCTTCTTGTGTTCTCATGTTCTTCAGAGCAGTTGAAGACTTCTGCTAGGAGGTCCTTGAAGTTAAAAACAAGATGTTAGGATAACTAGTGATAGGTCTCTCTGATATCTGCTGATTCCCCCCTCCCCAGGATCAAACTACACACTGAACTGAAGACGTATGATCAGATCCCCTGAAATAGAGTTTAAAAGCAATCAACAGGGGAGGAATGGATTGGGGCCAAAGTGCTGGGGAGGGTAATTACCTCTTGCTCCAGTGCCATTTTCCTGATCAAAACCGTCTCCCCAGGGGCTGCCGTTCGATATTATACCAGTTTTTGTCTGGCATAAAAACCTGGAGTTGAAATCTCCAGGTAGATAGGTTGGACATAAACCGGTGTAATAGAAAATCAACCACTAGAGGGAGCAAAACAGGGAAACCCCCCTGAAAAAAATAGGAATTTACAATCAAGAAAAATGCGAATGCGGAAAAGCCCAGTAAAGGCAGAGTCATGTTTACTAACCTCCAGGGCTATTTTTGGGCAGGAACGCACAGGAACGGAGGTCCGGCTGGCTCCCGAGTTGCCCACGCCCAGCAGGAACTCATTAGCATAATAGGCCACACCCAACAGCAGGAACTCTTTAGGATTGGCTACATTAGGGGTGTGTGGCCTAACATGCAAAGGAGCTCCTGCTACAAAAAGGCCCTGAGTTTTGACAACAAACAAGGTAAACAGAATAAGAAGGGGAAAAGGTGGGTGTGGCTGGATGACCACACTTCTGGTAACATGGGGGTGTGGCCTAATGTGCTAATAAGCAGTGCTATCAGGGTGTGGACTAATATGCTAATGAGTTTTGCTGTTGGGTGTGGCCTATTATGCTAATGAGTTCCTGCTGGGCTTTTTCTACAAAAAGAGCCCTGCTTAACCTCCATTCATCCACAGCTGATTTCCAGCTGGGCAGATGAGCTACAAGTCCACTCACCTTAAATTCTTGCAATAGGACAGGGCGGTGCTCTCAACCTTGGCCTTGACTAGCGTCCCTTCCCCACTTGCAGCTAATGAAGAAAGTGAATGACGCCTGTCCCAACATCACACGGATCTACAGCATCGGGAAGAGCTACCGGGGTTTGAAAATGTACGTCATGGAGATATCCGATAACCCCGGGCACCACGAAGTAGGTGAGCGCCTGCTGCCGGACTCTCTCTCCAAGAATAAGAGCTCGTGAATAAGAACTCGGCCATAGATCGGCAATGGGAGATGGGAGATGGAGACTGGGTTCAAGGTCGCGGAGAGTGGTTTTCAGGAGGGTCCCTGGAACTGGGAGGCCCCCTGCTTCTCTACACGGGCGACATTAGAGATGGGAAATGTGCAATTGGGTGTGCTCATTGGGATGGCTCCCACAATGCCGCTACCGGCAGTGCCCTTCCCTGACACAAGTCGGAAGCAAAGACCCCTTGCGCAGGGGATAGGGGCTGATATTGTAGATATTATGGCATTGGAAAAGGTGCAGAAAAGGGCAACTAAAACGATTAAGGGGATGGGACGCCTTCCCTATGAAGGAAGGCTGAAGAGGTTAAGGCCCTTTAACTTGGACTGCTGTAACGCTCTCTACATGGGGCTGCCTTTGTCGCAAATCCGGAAGCTGCAGCTAGAGAAGAATGCGGCGGCCAGGCTGCTGATGGGTCTCCCTAGGCAGGACCCTAGAAGGCCTGTCCTGAAAGCGCCGCACTGGCTGCCAATAGCGTACCGGGTTCGCTTCAAAGTGCTGGTTCTTACCTTTAAAGCCCTCTATGGCCAGGGTCCGACATACCTGAGGGACCGCCTTTCCCCATATGTTCCCCCAAAGGGCACTACGGTCGGGGACTCAACATCGACTGGTAACCCCAGGTCGCAAAGATATTAAATTTGCTGTCACCAGGGCCAGGGCGTTTTCGGTGGCGGCTCCTAGCTGGTGGAATGAGCTCCCGGAGGAGATCCGGG